CCAGTGTCCCTTCCTTGGCATCAATTAATCTCCAAACTTGCTTTGCAAGGAGGGAAATATTAACTTCATGAATAGGTCAAAGCCCCAAACCCCCCCTCAAGAGTGGGTTTAAACAAGATGTCTTTGTTAACCAAATGCATCCTTTTTTTGCAACCTTCAATGCCCCAGAAAAAATTAAGACAGTGAGAATCAATGATTTTGCAAAACTTCTTGGGCAATTTAGTGAATTAGAGTTGGTATACGTTAGCTGCAGATAAGACAAACTTAAGTAAAGTGAGTCTAGATGCTTGAGATAACAATTTAGTCTTCCAAGAATTAATCCTTATTAACACTAAATCTACCATTTACTGGTAAATATGAGATTTATTCCTTGGGGGGTCAAACCAGGAACCTAGATACTTCCTAATTCATTCAACAACGTTAACACTTAAAGAGTTAGCTATTCCAATTTTCTCCTGGTTTTCTATGTTTGGGCTGAAGACAATATTTGATTTGTCAAAATTTATAACCTGGCCAAACCACTTACTGTACAGCCTAAGTATCTGCTTAACACTTTCTAATCCATCTTTAAAACATTTAAAGAAAAAAATTGAGTCATCAGTATAAAGTAAGTGAGAGATTGGGTTAGCATGCATGCAAATCTTAACACCCTTCCATTTGCCCAGGTGTTCTTGCTTAATAATCAGAGCAGATAAGACCTTAGCAACAATAATATATAGATAAGGTGATAATAGATCCCTTTATTTAGTTCCATAGGTAAGGTAAAAGGATTAGAGATTTGGCCATTACAAGAGATCTGACTCTAGACTGTAGAGATACATTGATGTATCATCTTGATCCAATTTTCAGGAAAACCCATTTTAGATAGCACGGCCACAATAAAATTCCAAGAAAGCCAATCAAAAGCTTTTGAAAAATTAATTTTAAGAGCTGTATAGCCTTTTTTGCCAGACCTATGAGAATGAATAAAATGGAGAATATCTGCTTCTGGAATAATATTGTCCGTAATTAATCTCCCTTGTAAAAAAAGCACTCTGAAATGGGGCTATAAGATTATCCAACACCATCTTAAGCTTATTGAAAATAACTTTAGAAACAATTTTGTAAGCCACGTTGCATAGGCTAATAGGTCTAAGATCCTTCACCATTTGAACAAGGTCATTCTTAGGAATCAAAGTGATCAAGGTTCTATTCAAATATTTAAGAATAAAACTAGAGTTCTAGAATGATTGAACCATGTAGAAAACATCATTCCTAACTAAATTCCAATGCTTTTAAAAGAAAGAAGCATGAAACTGATCTAACCCTGGGCTACTATCTTTAGGAAGATCAAAGATAGCATTCTTAACCTCTATAAAGGAAATTGGACTCAAAATCACCTCTAAGTCCTCACGTGAAAGTGTAAGCAGATTAATACCTTGAAGCTCATTAACCAGATTATCAAAGCTTGTCATATTGTTATTTGAAAAAAATTACCTTGAGATGATCGTGCATGTGATTTTGAATGGCATCTTGATCTTCCAGCCAATTACCTTGATTATCTTGAATTGTGCTGATGTAATTCCACATTCTTCTCTTGCTAACCATTGTATGGAAGTATTTAGTATTTCTTTCACCTTTGGTATTCCACTTGATCTTTGCTCTTTGTTGCCAATAACTATTCTCACAATCATAAAAGAATTCTAAAAGATGTCTTTTCTCTGTAATTTCTTTCTCCAGAGCTGGACATTTATCTTCCCTTCGATCAAATAACATTGATAGCCTTACAATTTCCTTTTTTAAAAAACTTATCTAACTTCTAAAGTTTCCCCATTTGTTGTTGACTCCACTTGGAAAGACTATTGAGAGTATTTTAGAGTTTTTCTTGAAGCTTGAACCTCGGTGAACCAAAATAATTTTCAAGCCAAGCATTTTCCACAACTTTACTGCAGTCAGCAAAATTATACTAGTAGTTTTCAAATCTCTATGTTTTGAATTTTTTATGATCTAAATTGGTGCAGAAGACAATGGGAGAGTGATCCGAAGCAACTAGTGCCAGAGTTTTAATATGGGAGAAAGGAAAAGCTTCTAACCAAGGTATATTATAAATTACAGATCCAAGTATTCTTTAACATTGGTGAAGCCATCTCTAAAGTTATTCCATGTAAATGGGGGGCCATATTGTTTAATTTCAATAAGTTCAGCAATCTCTAAACATCTCTTAAAATCTGTTAACCTACTTTTAGATGGATTCAAACTTATTTTATCTTCCTTGTTAAGCACCTGATTGAAATCCCCCATAATTAACCAAGGACATTAAATAAAGTGAGAAATATTTTCAATCTAGGACCAGAGTAGATGACTGTTAGAAAGTTTAGGCGGCCCATAAACAAAAGATAGATTCATAACATTAAGACTTCCCAGATTTGATATAACAGTGTGGCATACAAAAGGAGAAATTTCAAGGACTTCCATTCTAATAGCTTTAGACCAGGCTATTATAGTTCCCCCCTTTCCTAACAACATGAAGACCATCAAAAGAATAGAAACCTAAATTCTTTAGAATTAAGAAAGCAAATTTGACCCTTATTTTCATTTCTGACATGTACACAATATCTGGATTATGGGAGGCAACCAGCTGCCTGAGTCTTTGAACTGCCGTGGCTTTTCTAGCATAGGGCTTTCATGGTGATTTGGGAAGCTTTAATAAAGCAGCTTCCCAAGCCTTGTTCAAAGAAAGTTTATCACACAACAACTTAACCTTTTTTTGTATCTACTCCAAAGGGATTGCTTCATCAGATTGACGCTTCCTGTTAGGAGAATTGAGCCTAATCTTAAGAATTGGGGTAGTAGTCAGAGGCGAGTCATTCAGGTTGATCTTACATGGCTTAAGATTGGTCTCATTTACACTCAGAGAAGTTCCTAATTTGATAATTCTTCCATCTTGAAAGCTATCAACTGAAAGTTAGGTTAACATTTCTATCAATAAAAAAGAAAAACCACTAGTTAGGGGCATTTACAGTAGCAATAAGGGAAAAAGCAAAGGCCCTTTTTTCCTCTACGGAGTAATATAAGACATTGCTAGCTTTAAAGAGCTTTTCAAATAAATCATCATTAGGAGGAATAATCATCCAGCTATAGTGAGACGGGCTTGAGTCTTGAATAATTAGCACAAATCCATCAATTGGCCAACCAGCAAGGTCACAATGTTCCATCCAAGCATTGATCAAAGTAATGGAGGTCTTGGCTTGCCACTTAAATGAAACCACCTATAGATTTAATAATGGGGATTTGATCAAGAGGGAGAAAAACTCTTAGATTAAATTGTTCTTGCTAAGATCTTTTACCCAGAGAGATAAGACAGGTTCTTACAAATAAATCCACCAGAGCATCTAAGCTTCCAGAATCCAAATCAATCTTGTGCCTTTTACTGATTCATGAGCTAATGGTAAACAAAGGGTTTTGAGCCGATAAAGGAGGATCACTACCATTCTAGGGCACAGGTCGAAGTAGATCTAAGAAATTAGTATTCTTGTTCAGAATATTCAAGGGAGTTTCTTCATACGCTTTCCTTTTACTTGAGCTATTCACTTGCTGAGATTGGTTAGAGGTCCCTTCTTTAATAACTACTCCAGGATTCTTCTTAGGAAATCCTTCATTCTCAGAGATTGAGCATTTCATTTGCCAAATTAGTATTGTTCAGGAAGGATCCATACTGGTTTGGAACTACTATTGAAAAATCCTAATTACCAATGGGCTCAGCTATCATCTCTTCAACATTACTTCTGTTGATCGGCGGTTTTTGTTGATTAAATGGGAAGTCCTCTTGTTGAGGAAAAGATGGTGCTTCATTAGGATTATTGGTTGGTGAATTTCCAAGGAATCATTGAAGTTGAAGACAAAGAAGCCTGGGCCCTCATCATTTATAAGGATATCATTAGGGATGATTTCATAAATTTTGTATCCTCTTCTCCCATTCTCAAAGAACTAAATTCTGGTGGTCCCCCTAGGTTTATTTTGTCTTACCCAGTCATACTAAGCTAGAGCAGCATGCCCTAGCTTAAAAAAGCATTGGAAGTTAAAGCCAAAAAGATGAAACGTTCTTGCCTACATCATGTTGAACATATTAAAAATGTAAAGTGAGCTAAATTTATCATAATTTAATAAGCTATATGATATAATATAACATCAAATAATTAAAAAAATTGATCATTTTATATATAAAAAAAGAGTAAAGTGAGCTAATCTTGCCCAACTTCTCAAATGATTTTCTCAGTTTGATTGAGTGTGTGTTTGGTTTTCAGTTTGTTAAAAGTTCATTTGGTAAAAATCAATTTAGTGAAAGTTAGTTGTTATAACAAAATTTCTGTTTGAATGCATTTTTCTAAAGTCAATTTAATACATTAAAAGTTATTTGGTTTGTGATAGTGAAATGTGCTTTTGAATGTATAATTACAAAAAAGAGCATTGATTTATGATGATTCGTAATTTTTATTTTACAAATGTATGATATTTAAAATATTTAAAAAAATGTGATAAAGATTTTAAATAACATAAAATTTGATTTATAATGTTAAAAATTTAATCTTTAGTTATTTGTACTTTTTTAATTTGTAATTTTAAAAAATGTAATAAAAATTTGTAATTTTTATTATACATTAATGCTAAAAGTTAACATAATTAATTATTCAATTTATAATACTAAAAATTTGATACCTAATTATTATTATTGAAATGATAATTATATTTTTAATGAATTAATTATTTTTTAAATAAAAAATAAGATATTAAATTTGAGATAGTTTTCAAAATTTTTAAATAGTTATGTTTTAAAAATTTACTTTTAGTCATTATTTGAATGTATATCAGGATATTTTTTTTATAAAATATTTTATTTAAATAATTTTTAACATTTTAAAAATAAAATTTTACTTTTTAAATGAAAAATGTAAGAAAACCAAACCAGCCTGAGTTGTTAACTCGATGGATCCACGGTTTACCAGTCCAAACGTCTGGTTTGACGTGGTTTTTTAATAATTGGTACAGTCTTCACTTGAGCTGTCGAGCAAATGAAAATGGCAAACCCTAGTCGTCCCTGTCTCTCTTTTCTTTCACTTTCTTCACTCGATCTCGTCAGTCATCACTGTCTCTGTCGAGCTCAAGTCAAGACGAAGACGAGTGTGCCTCTCAGCCTCAGATCTCTCTCTCGCCGTGTCATACAGAACCCACGGCCGTCGAATCACTGTCTCTCGCGCGAACCTTCTCTGCTCGGTGATCGTCTTCTCTGCATCTGCTCGGCAGCTCGGCGACCATCTTCTTCTTCTCTGCAGCCTGCTCAGCTCCCACGGCCAGGACCCGCGAGCTATAGAGGTTTTCTTATTCTTCTTTCTTTTTCTCTCTTGCGCGCTCTCTGAAAGTAGAATACGGATCTAATGGCTGAATCAAATGGATGAAATTCATATGCTTGAATGCTTGGCGAAGGATGAATGCTTGAATGCTTGTATCTCTGCTCGTGATCTGAATGCTTGAGAGTGCAAATGTAGTTTTGGATGGTGATGATGGTCAGGAATAGCCACAAAACTTGGATTAGCTTTGATTGTATTGTTGATTGTTATTGTTATTTTTTAACACTCATGATATGTTGAATGTGTTGATTGATTCTTATTTTGTTGGATTGTTTATTTTGGATGTTGAACACTTGAACTAATATGTTGGAATTGGATTGTTATTTTGGAATTTGGATGTCTGATGGATTGTTATTTTCGACTTGGACTTGTTGGTTGATGTAATGAAAATCATTATTTTGATGTCATTAGATGAAAATAAAAAAGAGCACTGAAATTTAAAAAAAAAAAAGATGCCTTTAATGTGGGTTTTCGGGCCGGGCTGAAGCCCGGATGAATTCAGGTATTTCGGGAAGTTTGGGTCTGTTCTATTTGGGCTGAGCCCAAATAAACCTGCCCAGCCTGAATTACCAAGACTAAGTCCGTTAGTGACTATGTAACAAGTTCTATCTTTTACTTTTTCAATGGATATTCATTCTATTTTTTTCTTTGACCTTGAACATATTCATTCTAACTTGTTAAAGTAATTTTCCATTCACATTCCTCTGGATTTTTTTTTTAATTAGTGAAATCGTGAATGACATGTTCTATCATTTACATAATGAAAGATTAAAAAAAAAATTTATTAATGAAATTTATTTCAATGTTACTTCTTACTATTTCCTTTTTTAATTTTTTGTTTTTTACTTTTATTAAATGAAGGATATTTTTAAAAGGGAAAATTTCACTCAAAGACCCATAGAGCCTATTATTAATGAAAAGGGGCCTGAGATTTGAATTCTCTCTACACACACAAGGGATCTTAATAAAAATAAGATTTCAGAAACATAAAAAGACAAAAATAGTGTTGAGAGGAATTCGAATTGCTGCATATTAGTTACTTATAATTACTTGTCAATATGTAAATGCATGCATGTTGTAGCCTAGTTGATAATTTGGTTATAGTATCTCTTATTATTTTTTTTTTTTGGAAAAATGACAATTAAGGACTCTCTAAGAACATTAATCCCAATTAAGGACCATAAAATTTTGAAATCTTAGTTAAGGACCATGGTCCGTAATTGGGGATAAAAAAATGTAGTTTGTCTTAAATGCCCTTGAGATTCACTAAGGTGAAGTGGGATTCACTAAGGTGAAGTGGGATTCACTAACGTCACTTGAGAATTTATTAACCCAACTTGAAAAAATTGTTAACGTATTTTGTGAAAATATGAAACCTCATATGAGAATCGATTGTTTAACGAAAAGCGCCACTTGGGAATTCATTAATCCAACTTGAGAAAATTTTTAATGTATATTGTGAAAATATGAAATTCCGCTTGAGAATTAATTATTTAACAAAAAGTGTCACTTAGGAATTAATTAACTAGACTTGTAAAAATTTCTAATGTATATTGTGAAAAAATGAAACCTCACAAAGGAATCGATTGTTTAAGAAAAAGTGATTTGTTTAAATTGGGATCCACTAACGTGAGGCGGGATTTATTTATGTCATTTGGGAATTTACTAACTCAATATGGGAAAATTGCTAATGTATATTGTGGAAACAACATAATTGGGTTTTTTTTTTTCTCAAGGACATTTAAGACAAAATACTTTTTTTTTTATTCCTTGGTTCTTAATTGGGATTTCAAAATTTTATGGTCCTTAATTGGAATTAATATCCTTAGAGGGTCTTTAATTGTCATTTTTTCTGTTTTTTTTTTTCTTTGGATAGAAAGAAGGGCTCAAATGCCCCAATACATAAACAGAAACCAACCAAAAAAAAAAAAAAAGGAAATACAAACAAAATAAGAATCAACCCCTCTCAAAGGGGAGAGTATCTCTTATCGTTAATACTTTTAACTTGTTTTTAAAAGTACTTCAATTCTATTCATTAGATAGAGAATTTTTTTTTATTTTTTATCATGTTGAAAAGGCACTTCATTGAGTTTTTGTTATAACTTTTTTCTTTTACCCTATTAAATGTTAATGATATAAGATACATTATTAAACATGATTAATGAGTTTTAAAGTTTTCTTGATTCTGGCAAAGCATATTAAGAGTGGCTTATAAATTAGATTGAAGAAATAACATACTCTGTCCATTTAATATTACAAGGCATTTTTAACTGAATTAGTTAATTATTTTTAAATTACATACTATTTCCGTATTTACCCTTATTAAATAGGCTATCTTAATTAAAAAGACATTATTAATTATGAAAAATTTTAGTAATTGCACCTTGAAGAATTTGAAATGTCTTATATTGAATGGAGCAATTAAATTATAGTATAAAGATTTTTTTTGGCTAATTATTATATAAGTTTCATTGCTTACGTATTTTTCCCTTTAATTCTTGGTGGCATGTAGACTGGCCAAAGAAACAATATCCAAATTTTTTTCTGCATCAATTTATTGTAAATGGTAAATTTATACAACTAAACACTTTCGTATTTGCCTACAATACTGCCCAATCAAAATTTTGACCAGATTATTAATTAAGCCATATGTGATTGGTCACATAATTATATTTGACTCCATATTTTTAAGCTGCATCGATGCCTTCAAGAATTTATTAATTAAAACTATCATTTTCAATGCCCTCCTAGCCTATATATGTGCGGGTGGGATAATACACTGATTCAATCGCTCATGTCAAATTCAAATATGCCCTTCAAGAATTTATTCCTTTCACTCCGTAAATTTTTCTTACTTCATATAATCTGAATGTGAGTGTGTGTGTGTACGCCCTCTTCATTCGGAATCTGTACAAATTCTATATCAGCAGAATTTGCTAATTAGTTCATTTCCTTTCCAGAAACAAAATATGGCACGACAATCATCATCTTCAACCAAACTGAGCCTGAAACTACTTATTGATCGAGAGAACGAAAGAGTTCTGTTCGCCGAAGCATCAAAGAACTTCGTAGATTTCCTCTTTAACCTGCTTCGTTTGCCTATCAGCACAGTCGCAAGCCTTCTAACCAAGAACGACATGGTCGGCTGCATTGGGAAGCTCTGTGAAAGCGTCGAGAATCTCAGTGTTGATTACTGGTTGAACCCAATTCATGACAAGGCCGCTTTACTGAAACCAGACGCTCCATTAATCTCTGGAAATCTTCTTCTGCCAGCAGCAAATCATGGCAATAATGGCGGATCAGGGACTTCACAGTACGGTGGTTATCAAGGTCATTCCAGGCCCTTTGGATCAAGGAGCTCTTTAACATTTGAGGAGAAAACTTGTGCTAGTGGGTTTGTGAAAGAAGTTGTGACTTACACTGTAACGGATGATCTTGAAGTTCGACCGATGTCTTCTATTTCAACTATCACTCTGCTGTCAAAGTTCAACATCAAAGATATTTCTTCCTTAGAAGAAAGCATCGTTGAGTTAGACATGGAACAGGCATGCATGATGATCTCTTAATTTAATTAATTACTTGTATTGTTTACATGGTATATTGCTTTATGGTTTTTTTTTTTTTTTGAGTCGTGTATTTTGTTTTCTAAGATTGTTTCCCACTTTGTATATGCAGGGTATCAAACTGTTGAAAGCGTCCCTGGAGTGCAAGAATGTGTTAACTAGCGTGTTCCTCAAGGGCGTTTAATTAGTTCCTTTACTTTTTTTTGATGGACTTTCTTTATGGTTATTGTGTTTATGATTATATATGCCCATGTTTTGTTTCATATGGCCATGAAACTAGTGACCGACCCTGTGGAAAATGATGTTACATTCATGTGTAGTGGGGAAAAGTTGCACGGGGCGTTAAAATATAATGTAAAATCGATAACTTTTATTTTGAATCATGCGATTGTAAATAGCTATGACGACTTATATTTTGAACCAAGAAATCATGAACAATTTTATTCACTTTTATTTTGAAACACGTCATTGTGAATAGCGCACTCACAACTATGTTGTGTTCATACACGGTTTGTCCTTCACCTCCTATGTTTTCTCTTTTTGGATCAGGCTTGCATTACTGGTTATTACTCATATATTTGTTGTCCAACAAGAAGTTTTGCTTGATCGTAGCCTTGATGTTTTCAATTTTGGCTGTGAATGACAATATCTAGTACTACATATGCTTGTTATTTCTTCCCAGCTTTGGAGTGGTAATTCTTGTATAATTTGTTCCTATCTTCTTTCTTGATGATTAAATTGGAGGTGTCATTACCAACGGTGGCATAAAGTTCAAGTTCATTTTAGTCCGACAAAATATAGTCATGTCTAGGCCACATTCTCCTTCAAATAGTCACGTAATAACAAATAACTGCATCCAACTCTATCATAAGACCCATCTGGACAAGTAGTCACGTAATAACTACATCCACAAGAGAAATTTTCAGTATACAATTTTTTAGTAGTCAACAATATCACAACTCAGTTAATACAAAGAGAATTTATATCAATATAACAAACCTCCACATCAAATAACATCACATATTTTCATCACAATTTTTAGTAGTCAACAATATCACAACTCAGTTGATACAAAGAGAATTTATATCAATATAACAAACCTCCACATCAAATAACATCACATATTTTCATCACATGCATGAGGCTTTAAGCATGCTTATTTGCGCACACAAAGACTATTAACTCTATTTAAATTCCTGCGACTCATAATAACCTACATTAAAATTCGCATTGAATAATTCTAAAATTTAAGGCCTACTGGCACATGCTAATCGATAAAAAACATGCTTGTTCTCGAGATACCAGAATCCACATTTGCATTGCAAGAGTCATCCACAAGTGTTTGTTAATAATTAGAAATTTAGGGCTCCATAAGTTTCAGATTTCTTCACGTCTAAGTGAGGAATAAACCTCATTGATCAGCATTAATCTATAAGATAACCCAAAATGTAAATGCATCATATTAGACGGGTAATTAAGCTAAATGTGATCGATTGCATTGCTTAAGTTTTTGCTATATAAAAATTGAACAATTTTAAATTAAAATTTAATCAACTTCAGAGCTACAATAGAACCAAATTCCTCATTTTTAATCATCTAAATCCGAAAGAAATCTCATTTTGATCCCTTTCTCTGTCCTCGAATTATTCGATTTATGATGTTCAACTTAACATTCTTTAAATAAAGCCCATATCCCTTACAAGAAGATCACAGATCTTTATTTCAAGCAATGCAACACTCTATTTTGAGCCATAGTTCCCCAGAAACTTTCTGCAGCATCCATTCAAGATACCCTCAATGGCATATATTTGTCCATCAACAACTCGATCCTTTTTCCTTCTATATGCAGCGTTCAATACCAAAAGTTTATTCTTAAATATTAACCTGACAGTCAGAACTTCAATGATCTTTAAGGAAGCATAACTCTGTTTTTTTAGAAAAAGAATTAAAGTTAGCGTTATCCTCTTCTGCTGTCTTTCGACAAGTTATCACTTGTGTAGGAGAAAAGCAACAGGCAATGATAGAAATTGATATCAATATCCAACATAATGAAAATTTTCATTGCAACCATGGCTCCTAAACTTGATGTAAGTAACATGTTCTACCAGCATTGTGACATGAATAAGGACAATCACAATTGGTATTTCTGCGTAGGGAATGATGACAATATCAAAACACTGAAAATGTAGGCACATTAACGAAACAAATAAAGCAAAAAAAAGAAAAAAAAAAAAAGTTTCAGAACAGAGAAGACAAAACAGTTCTTGGATTAACATCAGACATTACCTCCCAAATAATTGCTGATCGATCATTCAATGATGTAGATAAATATTTTACATCATCCGAAAATTGTTCAAACCAGACAATCACAATTGGCATTTATGCCTAGGGAATGATGATAATATCAAAACACTCAAAATGCAGGCACATTAATGAAACAACTAAGGCAAAAAAAAAACCAAAGTTTCAGAACAGAGAAGACAAAATAGTTTTTGGATTAACAGCAGACATTACCTCCTAAATAATTGCTGACCGATCATTCGAAGATGAAGCTAAATATTTTGCATCATGTGAAACTTGTGCAAACCAGACTTCATCATTGTGTCCTTCTAATACCAGTTTGAACATATTCGGGAAAGTGAAATGATATCAAAATATTGATAAACTAAAGCTATTGAGAGTATTATGCGGAAAGGCTGTAGCCAATGCTAATAAAAAGATTTTAGACATCGAATTGTCCTTGACAAGATTTTAAACGAACCAAACAACTGAAAGAATGAGAGAACAGAGGAAATGTTTTCTTAAAAGACCACCAAGATATAAAAGGCTCTGGCCTTTTATCTTGGCTTTTTAAATCTGTTCTTCTAAAAGTTCATGATCACATTAATCAATCACCAATAACATACTAATCCAATAAACTTGAACAGCGTAAATATATTAAAATCACCAACTAAAGTTGTTTCAGACAGCAAGTAATTGCTATATAAATATTTCAAATATAATACCTTCAATTAGGAAATGGTTGTGCCGAAATAACAGAGTAATGAAACCGAACCTTATCAGCCCAAGAGTTCTGCAGATGAATCACCTTCAGCAGAATCAGGAAGCAACGGTTTGACCGCAAATAGAGCATCTTCACTAAGACACGCCTTCAAAACACGGGAAGATTCCTCCATAGTATCCCAAGATCTAGAAATTCTTATATATTCATCTGAAAAATCAGCACTTAATAATATCTCGAGTCCATATCTTCAGTATATCCCAGTACCTTATCAATCATATTTAGAATATCTGGAACCAAAAAAATATTGAAAAAAAAAATTCACCACCATAGACTGAAAAAAAAAAAAAAAATTGAAGATTAAGCTCACCTTTGTTATCTCACAAATAGCACAGTGGCCCTCATTTCCCAACCCAGAAACTCCTGCATCAACAGCAGAAGAATGAACAGTCTCCCATTCCACAATTGTAATGGCCATCCCATGTCATACAAACAAGCAGTAATTCATTGAGATTTAACAAAGGGGAAGAATCCAAACCTTGTACAAGGGTTTGGGGAAGCCATAGAAGTCGTAGATGGTGTTGCTGCGGTTAACGACGTTGATTGACGGGATGGAGGTATCACCTCGGTCTTCATAGTCCATCTTCAGCCATTGAATTCGCTTTGTTCTTCTCCACCTTCCTCTTCTTCTTCTTCTTCTTCCCTGCTTGGCCCTCATCCATAAATGGAAATAGAAACCCTTACGGAACCAAATGACGGGCTCCCCAAAACTACAAGCATGAGCAAGTGGCAAACCACAAGCGGAACCCAAGTCTTGTAGAAATTTGATCTCTGCAAAATTAATCCCTTTGGACATCCATGTGGCTATTCCCCAAATGACAATAATATTGCTAGAAAACTGCAAAAGAATCTATCCCATTGTCAAGATTGAAAATCAAAGCCATATATACCTGGATATTATTATTTTTTTTGGGGGGGGGGGGGAACAAAAAGTACGGCATGGCCTGAAGTGATCAACAATAAGACTGTCATGTTTAATTGTCTATGACCAGTATAATGAAGAGAGTTCTATCTCAACAACAGACTTCAAACTTTACGTTGAAAATATCTACTAAGTAATTTACTTCAATCATAAGATAACTTAGCAAACTTGCAAACTGAAGTTCTAAATAAGGACTGCATATATCATCACCTTTGACTTGACAAGCTACTTGCATACAGTTCTCTATAGTGGACATTAAATATTGATATTCAGAATATCCATCAACAAACAAGATCTCATCCAATAGTCTGAATTTACCAGGATCTTCCCCTTTCTGCATGCATTCAATTATACTTGAGACATTCAGAAAATATAAGTTATCTCTTTCCTGAAAATAAGTAGAACTGTTGAACCTTTCTGGCCTTGGCAGACAAATATACGTTGCTACGTTTAGAAAATAAAAAAAATCCCCCCCTGCATGCTTCTCAATGCTAAAAGTGGAGTTCATCAATATAAAAACGCAGTCAATGCATAAACAAAAAGTTTATAATCATCATTCCACACAAATACTAGAAGAAAAAGCTTGTGAAGAATACGCAGATGCTACAACACCCTCACAAGCAGGAGCATGTAACTGAGTTTTTATGTGGATTCACTTGTGGTTGAACTGATATTAATTTGAAAACTTGGTTATATATCTAAGAAGTCCCAGATGTGTAGCTGAAACTTTTATTTGGCCTTGTTAAAGTTAGTTGATCATTAATTAACTCATACGGGAAGCAATTTGAAAATAAGGAAGCCATCCTGCACAAATTTGGCGTGAGAAACAAAGAATTACCTTCATTCTAGCTTCCTCAAAAATGGGCAACATGATGAAAACAAGATCCACTGGAGTGGACAGAGACAACCTACCATCTGCAGAAGGAGAAAATAATAATGATTAAGCTGGCAGCGTTTGCCAAGAATTCGCATTGAATCTAAAGCAGCCACATAATAGCTCTATTACAAGTGAGAGATTTAAAGGCTGATTACAGACCAAGTGTAGTTGAAAATAGAAATAATCTCAGGCAATCTAAGAAAAGGACATTGGAGGAAAACTTTTACAAGTACTAAAAAATTTCTTCATACAGGAGATGAAATATGAATGGAAGCATACCGCATGACATATGATCAATTAAATACATATGCATGTGCCAAAATAAGCAGCATTGGATTAACACTAAGTAGCCTAAGAAATCTAGCATCTACCTTCACATAGATAATCCCCCAAGAACCAAGATCCATATGATTTTTCAAAACAATTGAAGCTCTTGAAGCATCCCATGTACAAAGAGATAGTACGTAGCATTTCCTTCAAACAGGTCAAAACAAGTTAGAATTATAAATAAATAGGAGGAGGAGGCAAAGAGAGGGAGAGAGGACATTCAAAAGCTTCAACATATCACATCCTCGATGAAGATTTTTAGCTGAGTGATAGAGCAATATTAATAGAGTAATATTAAGCAATCAACCAACGCATTAAGTATTTGAGATGCACAGTTCACAAGAACTAGCACATTATGTTAACAAGTAACCAAGATGATTGGGACATCAAAGAATATTTGCTTTTCATTGAAGTACCTGATTTGGGATGACGAAGCAAAAGCAAGCGTCCTAAACCATTTCCACTTGTACCAGGATCTACAGTTATATAGAGGGAGAGGAAGTTAAAAAGTTTTTGTAATTATAATGTAATATGAGAAAGGACAAAATCCCTAACTTATTATACTTGGCATTAATCACAAGGCGCTGAATGAAGCAAAATCAAAATAAAAACAACTAATCAGTAGCTATAACTTGCCTAGGATGCTAAGACATACAAAGTAGAAACTATATGATAGCAAGAGTAATCACTTGCACTTACCAAGAATTAATCGTATTAGTATTAGTATTATTAGTAATTTTCATAAAACTCGTTAAAAGTCCAGCTCCTACAACGGATGCGTATATATTACCAACCCCGAACCAACTGTTAATTAAGATTCCAGAACTGGCATTGTGTTTGGAGTGAGTGCTGGGCCTGGTGTAGTTGGGCCTGGAAAGTAAGGTAAAATTAAGGGAGATATAATAGGGGCCGGTGAGTTGTAGTGACATAAGATGAGAAGGGGTATTGGGCTTCATAAAAAATTAGATCTCTGGAGGCGTAAAGTCGGCCAGTGGGTAAATGGAGACAAAGATAGCCCAAATGGTTGGAAGCATAGCCGAGAAATACACAAGAGAGTGATTGTGGAGCTAATTTGTGAGGTGCATAGGGTCTGAGATTGGGCCAACATGCAGAGCCGAAAGCTTTTAAGATGCGGTAGCTTGGTTTTAGGAGAAAAAGAAGTTCAAATGTCTTTTTGCATTTGTGTCACAACCATGGCGTCTTTGGTCAGGATCCTCGTGACTGTGCCGACCGGTAAGCGAAACAGGTTGAACAGAAAGTCGATGAACTCCTTGGAAGCTTCAGCCAACAGAACACTTTTTGCATTTGTGTCGATCAACAGCTTTAAGCTCACTTTGGTTGCTGACGTTGACGACGCCATCTTTCACTGTTCTTGCTCTTCTCAGAGCAACTACGTTCTTTGTGCTGACAACAAATGGGCAATATTTGCAGCTTAGAAATATGGAAAATGACGGCATTTGGCTTGGCGGGTTAGAAATGACGTGAAATGTAGAATATAGTGCCTGACCCTGAATTATGATTTCTGATCCGGTTAAGTATATATATTTAACTATGTTGATTGCGCATTGAACTGTATACAGATGTACTCTTTTATGGTACTTTTTATTTTTGATAAAAATATTAATATATGAATAAGTAAATAAAAAATATAAGGATAAAGTCACTAAAAATAAAGTATTAAAAAATTATTAATATATATATATATATATATATATTTCTTTTCCAGTATTAAGTATGGGATAATGACAAGTAAATTTCAAGGGACCAATTTTATTAAAGATAAGTCCCAAGATATTTTTATAATTTTTTAAAAGGTCATATGAGCAATGTTAAAATCACTTAAAAGTTCTCATTAACCATGTCTGAAGCTCTAAACTTTCTCTCCTCATTTTGATATTTGAATTGTCTGTGTGCTCTAGATAGAATTCCTTCATAATCTCATAAACATGAACATCAAGAGAAGAGAAGAAAGATTGAGAGAAAAAATCTATTACATTTGATTGCACGTAAGGAAAGATTGAGGAAGACTTAAATATTATTGACAAAAGCAAAGAATACAACACCAAACTCCATCACACCTTAAGATATTTTGCTAAATTTTAACAATAATTTGTAAAATGTTGGAAAGGGACAAAATTAAAGTATTGGAATTAGTTTAATATGCCATTGGGCTTATTTTGTTTTTATTGTTGGACTTCATTTTTGGGTTATTAATTAAAAAATATATTCAGCCAAATGGTTTAAATTATTGAAAAACGTACTGCAATAATGAGTTCTTTTGAATTTAGGGATTTTGTCTATTATTGTGCATATTATTGGCCTTGATAAATTGATGGAATATTTCTTTCATTGACTTGCTTTTTCAACATTTTCTTGCATATTAATAGACTTTCAAAATATGAGTTCCAATCATATAACCCGTTTTCTAGTTAGTGTTTTTGACTTTTTATGGATTTGACTTGAAAATAGTTGGATCAATTTCAAGAAATTGCCACTAAATTTACTGTTTTTAAGAAGAAAGATTGAATCTTAACTTGCAAATTATCATATGATGCCAAGGGGCTTGTAACTACTGCTCTGTAATTTGTAGCTTCGTTTTAGTAATGTTTGTTGTGGGAGTTTCTATTTTCTTAAAAATGAAAATTGAATCTTGCTAATTATTGGATTGTTTTTTGCAATTTGCAACAACTACTTTTCTTTTTGCAACTTTATGTAGTAACATAGGCAACTATATATAGCTCGTTTTTAAGAAGAAAAATTGAATCTTGCAAATTATTTAATCATTTTTGAGAATTTGCAATTGATACTCTACAATTTGCAATTTCATATCGTAACATTTACAATTAGACTTTCTATATTTAAGAAGGAAAATTGAATCTCACAAATTATTAGATTATTTTTAAGAATCTGAAGCTACTCTTTGTAATTTGTAAGTTTGCATAACATACTATGGTGAATGGAATATATTTATAAAAATTGATTAATTTGATTTTCTTCAGAGTGCTCTTTATTAAAATTGTTGGCATTTACAATTATAAGTGGCATCTTTCTTGTAGCAATCAATCAATGCTCTTGGCAACTATATTTTCCTCGCTTACCCAACAAGAGAGGAAGATAGCTTGGAGAAATTGCATCTCTATCATCATTTATCATTTGTAGATGTAAATCAAATAAGGGTGAAGAAGAAGCTGATAGACTATAATAATGTGAAAATAAAGTTTTTGAGTAGATATTCTATGGTGGTTGGTTAACCATAAGAGGAACAAAGTCAGATGAACTTCTTGCTTCTATTTAAGCTATTGACTTATCGAAGAGGGTAAGAGAAATTAAAGATCCAAATGAAGTTTAATGATGCTTATTTGTGCCGTAATTAATCAAACTGATGCCTTGTGTGCCCATGATTAGGATATGCTTTTCTTGAATTTGCAGCTTAAAGTTTAATTTGCAAGTGATGTTCCCATTTTTTATTTGGAATAAAAAGTTTAACATGGAAATTTAAGATAATAAATGAATTGGTCAGGGATTTGCAATTACTTCTCTCAAATTTGCAAGTAATATTCCCACTTTTAATTTGCAACTTATAATTTTAACATAGAAGTTTGAAATAAAAAAAATAACTTGATTAGTTGTAAGGATTTGCAATTACCACTCCCTATTCAGAATCTCAAAATTAATTTGTAGGCTATGTTCCCATTTTTAAGATAGAAATTTAGTATAAGAAATGACTTGGTAAGCGTTAGATATTTGCAACTGCTACTCCTTGATTTGCCATTTAGTGTTTTCATATTTGCAAGTAGTATTTCCATTTTTAATTTGGAATCATAAGTTTGACATGGAATTTTAACAGGAATGACTTGGTTAATTTTAGAGATTTGCAACTACTACTCCCATATTTGTAACTCAAACAATTAGCTCCTCTGCAATGTGATAATTAGTTTTTAATTATTTAAGATCGCTTGACATTTTTTTTTTTGTAAAATTATATATTTGTCTATGTGAGGAAGATCCATTATCTTCTCAGTAAATCAATGACTATTTTGTTTTGGCCTTTTGGGAAATAATTACTTTTCTTGGAGAAATGATTAGAATAAAATAACAAATTACAAAATGTTCTGATTATGTAAATTTTTTTATCAATGAAGTTCAATAACTAAAAATTAATTACTACTTTTTTTCAGAAAAATAACTAGAACAAAATAACAAATTACAAGTAGCTCTATGCAAGCAAATTAAATAGCTATAATTAAAAAAACACAATATTGAGACCTATAATTATTATCCAGGCAACATAGTCTAATTTTTGATCGGATTATTAATTAAGCAATAAGTGATTTATTGGTCACATAGTTATATTAGACTTCATATTTTAAGCTTCATTGTTGCCTTTAAGAATTTATTAATTGAAACTATCATTTTCAATGCCTTCCTCCTAGGACTATTTACCGGCGGGAATGCAATGATTCAATAGCTCATATCAAATTCAAATGATTCCGTAAAAATTGTTATTCTCTTAACTCATACTATAATTTGAGAACACAACCCCCCCCCCCCTTCATTTGGTATCTGAACATATTCTTTATCAGTACAACTTGCGTAGTTCATTTCAGTTCCAGCGACAAATGGCATCAGCTTCTTCTTCAACTAAACTGAGCCCGAAACTACTTATCGATCCAGAGAACAAAAGAGTTCTGTTCGCTGAAGCATGAAAGAACATAGTACACCTCCTCTTCAACCTGCTTCGTCCGCCAAGATGTTGACACGTGTAGACAGGTATTGGATGCCTGTAATTGCTACAGGTATTGAATCCAAATCCATTAAACTCTTGAAAGCCTCTCTACAGTGCAAGAATGTCTTGACACGTGTTTTCCTCAATAATGTTAGAGATTGAGAGCAATCAAGCTTAAAGCATGGAAATTAATGCGGTGATTTGTTTAAGTTCGTTTTGTTTTGCGTTGTTATATGTATATATCTATATATTCAATCTTATAATTAGTTCATTTAATTATGCATTTGATTGTACTCATTATCACTTAAATATTGTTGAAAACAAAGGTCATGCATAATGGTTCTTTATGTAGTGTAATTAAATTAATAATATATTTAATAATTACATGCTCCCTTTTGTCCTTATAATAAGGTACATTCTATAAGGACTTTTTATTTTTAATATAAGGCATATTATTGGGTATTAATTCTCTGATTTTAATATTACCTCTATTCAAACTCTCATTAACTATGGGAAACCTGCAATGTGATTTTGAAAATTCTTCATTTAAATAGGAGTAAAATTGAATGTTTATTCTCTTAATCACTCTCTTATAATACAGGCTGCAGTGTTTGATGTAATTTTTTTTTTAAGGATTCAAGCTTGAAAAATTAGGAACCCTACCTGTTTTTTGTTTTACTCCTAAAAATAATATATTTTTAATTTTAAAATTAAATTTAGACTTACTATATACTTATACTT